TCTATCAAGTTTGTGGTATTATATAAATTCTGGTGTAATTACACAAATATTTATTCTAGCTTAAATATCCAGAGCAATATATTGATTCTTTAATGTAAATAAAATAACGTTTTAAATAAAAAGAAACAATTTTGTATCACTATTTTAAGAAGAAGTGGAATCATTTGTTTAGAACACTTACGAAAGAAAAGAGCAGTCAATAGAGAGCAAAGAGCAGCAAAGAAATGAAAGGTCAATAATCGTAACCTTTCAGAAGAGTTTCCTTTATATACCTGAGAACTAAATTGCAAGCTAATAATTTCTCTAAACGTTAATGTGCTCTTATTAAACACATTTCATTGTATGCGTTTTTCGAGCTGTGCCAGCGGTAAAATTGTTTAGTTCTTGTGACTTGTACCCTCAACATTAGAAATTTACGCTTTGATGTAAAAGGGGCACGCACTTGTATCTCTCAGGCTTTACAGAAAGAAAATAAAAATTCCTCTTCATGAAATATTCCTCGACTCTCAACCCTTATCTGAAGCTCTCTTATGCTTCTACCATACTTCTCCAGCGTTGGGAAAATTAATGACTTTCAGCCTAAAGCAGTGAAACAACCATGAGATCTGCTTCGAAGTTTTACCTCCAGGGTTTTCTTCCTTGACATTTAATATCCACGAACAGAAAGTAAAAGTCTAAGCAGGAAAAAAAGCTGAGGATCGCTTCAAAAATGGTTATTTATTACCTTATATTCTAAATATTTTCAGATCACTTCGTCATTTTTAGTTAACTGCTATTTAGTGTTTCATTCGAAGCGACTGACATGTAGTAGTAGCATTAGATTTTACAGAGTACGCACGAATTTAAACTCATAACTGATTTTGGGCAACGATTGAGTGATATTACTGTTTCGAAAATAAACAGAAACTCCTCTGAAAGTAACGCAGGTTTTCAATTAAGATATCAGGGATTTAAAAATCCGTATGTTTAAAAACGTGGAACAGTAGTCAAAGGCTTTTAGATAATTAATTACTATATTAAGAAGCTGACTCTCTACCTTACGGCAGCATTAGAACTTTAAGTGTCAGCAGTAAGAGAATGCATGGCCGAATAATTACAACTAGAAATTAATCTGCACGCGATGCCAAAAATTTGCTCTGTTTTAAAATGTAAAAACCTCAGTTTAAATAATGACTACTCATTTGCATTCTGGTGAGGAATACGCAAGGGAGACTTTATATTAAATACTAAAATTACAAATGACTAGTTAATTAGCATAAAATTCCCTTTTCGCCCACTAGAGTTTAAGTATTCGCAACGAAGGTCTTTAACAACCTTGCTGAGATTTTAAGTTCTAAACCTACAGCATTTTTTTCAAACTAATCTCCTTCCAGATGCCTGGAAGAAAAATAATTTAGCAAACATATGTTTGATATTTATACATATCAACTTAATTTTCACAAAAAATTAAAAAATAAACTTTTTGATTTTTTAAAATTCAGTTTCTCACACCTATGCTGTCCAGCATTGTAATGTATGCAAGTGCGTGTGGAAGTGCAAGGGGTTTTCAACAAACTATCTGCTAACTGAAACCCTACATGTGAATAATTTAGATATATTAGATTTCAACGACATCCTATTTCAAAAGTGTGTTCTGAGCTTAATTTTTTTTAATCTTACGTGTTGGCTTGAGAACCTAAAGTAACCTAAAGATCACTTTTACTTTATTTCAAACCATTATCAGTTGCTAGCTTGTACTTTAAGTTTTATCGTACACAATATCGGAACACTTTGACAGAAACGTTAACAGAACACTTTACTTTTACAAAACAGTTGACAAACATACTTCATGGAAAAAAACATTTACTTACATTCAAAAGATTACTCAATTTGAACTTTACATCGCAATCGCTATGTACATAATTTATTAATACGTATCTATTCTGCAAAATGTGTCAAAACTTTTCTGATACAATCTCTTTGACTAAAATCACCGTATCAAGCTTACACTAAAAATTAAAAATCCTTCAAGATATATGCATAACTAAATTTAAAGGTTTCCTGCTGAATAAACTCTGGGAAGTTCTTGTTTGAGGAAAAACTTAACATACATGCACTAAGACATAAAATCAACTGAATATTCAAAGAAAATAATTTAAATTTTCACTTATATTTATTTCTTTGGAGCACTTCCATTCGTTTACCCAGACATTCTTGCAAGAATGGAAAGTATTCCTGTAATGAATCCGAAGTTTGAGTCTGGGCCGTTCATTTCCTGGTTCGTTAACTGGTAGTTTGCTCTTCTGGGACCTGTTCTTTTTCGTCTGGATTTCCTATGGGGCTGCGGGAACTCTGCTGTAAACGGCCGCTTTCCTGCTACTTGATGTGCCATCGGAAACTTCCTTTGGTTCACTTAGAAATTCACCCGTTGCCCTGGCACATCATCCATCAGTCGCTCTTGCTGAAGTAAATTCTGGCTTCACTGTCCCGACCTCTTCCCTCTTCCCGTTATTGCAAGCCTCTCTCATAACTGGGCTTCTCTTTCGTTGACTTCCCAACAGGCGTTGCTGATCACTAGGTTGGTTGCCGCATCTACAGGATCTTTATACTTTACTTTTGAGATAAATCTCTTTTCTGTCTTCTTGGACAGCCGTTATCTGTAGCTTTTCATTTTCCAGACTCTTCGAACTTAGCTTTTTCCTTCTCTTTTTCATCATTTCCGGTCTCCTTTCATTTCCCTGCGGAAATTGTACTCCAGATGTTGACGGTGTATCCGCCGCATTTCTAGATGGTCCTTCGTTGTTCACTCTTGGTGATTCCCACAAAAACTTCTCGTATCAGAGTCATATAAGGGCGCTCATAATAGCGCTTGATCCGATTAAGTTGGCTTTGGAGCTTAAACCAGTGTGACCTTTCGGTCTACTCTTTTCCTTTCTCGCTCAATCAAAAATGGGTCTTCGAACTTCTTAAAAACTTCCGCACCTTTCTCGTGCATGCAAAAGAGAGTGTTTAAATTTCAAGACTTTATCTTCAACCTCAAAATCAATTTCCTGTCTTTTCTTAACATACCAAAACTTTTGTTTCTCCCTGGCCATATCCGAATTTCTAATTGCCTCGTCCACTAATTTCTGAATGTCTGCCATCTTAAAATTCACAGACCTCTTTTGAACTAAAAATTTTCGACCTAGGGGCATATTAACTTTCTGTTCAGCTGGTATCTTTCCGGTGGGGTTAAGTTCAGTCGTCTGCAAGGCAAATGAAGTTTTAATAACACGGTCATCCCGACATTTATGATAATTTTTTACTTAGATGAGAATATTTTTTTCTGTTTTTCTATTCACCCGTTCTGCAATATTCGACTGTAACCGATAAGGAACCTTCTTAAAATATATCTCAACATATATCCTCAGAAATTTGACTAATAAATTGCTTTCGGTTTTCTGGTATTGTTTTAAGTGAAGCTCCATATTTTAATATAAGTTCATTAAAAAATTAACCTGCAACAATTTTAGCGGAAGCTCTTGTGACTGGAATTCTTTCTACTCATTTTGAAAACTGATTAGAGATAAAAAAAATATCTATTTTTGTTTTGTTTCACTTAATGGGTCAGAAACTAATAGGACATTTCCTATTATTTCTTCAGGAAAAGTAGCGTTTATGCCATTTAGGTATCTGATCAGGCTTAACTAATTGAAAAAGGTTACAGGACTTGCCATACTGAGTTACAAATCTTTCAGTTGTGGAAAATAAACAGCTTTTCTTACTCTCTGTGCTGTTTATTTCGAAGATGGCCTGAAACTGTCGCATCATGCAATTTGTGCAAAATACTTAATTTTAAAGTCTCTGGAATAACCGGTTTTAATTCATTATTATCCTTCACTTTGGAACAAAAGCCTGTCAATTATTTCATAATTTTCAGCTCTAATACCGGTTTAATCATAGTGTTCAAAGCGATGAAGAGCTTTAAAGAGCATAAAGTTTTAAAATTCTGGGTTTGCCTGAATAAAGGCCGTATGGTCTGTATACATATTTACTGGTGCCTTTTCAAACTACTCTAGAAGTTTCTGCAGCACCAAAAGAACTACTAATCCTCTCGGTGCTAACATGATTTCTTTCAGTTGGGTTAAGTGTCTTGTTAAAATATGCAACCGCCTGTCCGTCTTGCATACGCACGGCTCCTATTCCAAAATCTGATTCATCTGCGGACACTTCTAATTTACCTTCCGCTTCAGGAAATTTCAGGACGAGAGCTTGAATTAATGTCGTTTTATGTCTTTCAAATGTCGTGTTTCTTTCCGTTTCTACCAGGTGAACCCAGTTTTTTTCCTCTTTAAGTTTTAATAGTGGTTCTGCTCTATAAGCAAATTAATGCAAATTAATTCTGTGGGAATAAGGCAGGAATAAGATGTTGACAAAACTAAATTTGGCGCATCACCATCTTTTTTTAGGCACATCAAAAATTATTTCTTTGGCAGATAAATTACTTTTCAATCATAGTTAAATAGAAATAATTTTTATATATACGTCTACGTTTTATCTACACAGATAAAAAGCTACGACGTCATTTCAAGCAGGGAAACATAAGCGGTGTTGAGTTGTTTGCATGGCAGAAGACAGGAAAAAAGCGAAGCGTAGTGCTCGTGACTCAGTATTTACACTTCGTAGGTGCAGAAAGTATTCTAAGCTATGATTGGTCAATATTAGTTTTAGTTAACTTTTTCAAGCAGTGCTGTGTAATTTGGAGTGATCTCGAATTTGTGAGAACAGATGAATTTAGTGGAGAGAGCCCTAATTTAGAATGTAATTTTGAGGTCGCCAATTATTTTTTAAAGCAGCCATCGTATTTTGTTATATCTTACATATATATATGCAATAATAATAAATTAAAATAAATAATACGTTTAAAATTCATCCCATATTCAATTCGGAATAAACAGATGCGGTGTTTTTGGCGAACACTTTTTTCTTCTGCGGTATAAATTAGTTTTGCATATATTATGAAGAAATGTTTTTCTTTCCAGGGTTCTTTCATAGATGAAGGAATTTGGGGAAGTTAATTACTGGATGGTAACTAACTGCTTCACATGAATATGCCGAGAAATGCCATTGTAATTTTTATTGCTATCATTGTGCTAAGTAAGTATAAGTCTTCAGTTTAACTCTTTAATATTAACTGCGAAAGGAACTCTAATGCAGCTATTTTGTATTTCTTTTCCTTAGACCTAATTATCGTTTAACATTTATAGAATCTTTTATGTACGAATGAATGATTCTCCGTTTGAAGCAAAGAAAAGAAGAGAATGGGCTTTCAGAGTAACAGTAATTAACATTGTAAATTATGCACGTTAAAAATGATATAGATCATGAAGATTTTATGAAATTATCATAAGTCTTTTATAGAAAATTAGGTACTTAATTTTAATTGGTACTTAATTATCAAATTTTACTCAATTTAATTACCAAATCTACTTACTTTAATTACAAAATTTAATTTAATTAATTATTTAATTTAATTTTAGTACTTAATTACCAAATATTTATTAAAATTTGGTACTTAAATAATATTTTAGAAAAAGTGTTTTGACGGGAATTTAAATAGCAGCAGAAACATATCAAAAGCTGTATTAACTAATTAATAAGACCAGAAAAATTAATATTAAGGAAGATACTTATTTTTTTACAAGAAATTTTCATCAGAGGACATTTACTTTTTCTACAATAAATTTTCATTAATTAGTAAAAGAAAATATTTCAACATGATTATCAATAATAAGCGTTTTTGGAGAGACCACATTCAACATATTATAGGAAAAACTAAAGAGTGTTAAATGTCTCGGTTGTCTGATAAGAAACTTCTCTAATCTTAAACGAAGGCTTTACCAACATAATTATCTTTCGATTATTAAACCTATTTTAGCTACGTTTCCCCATCCACATTTCCCAAGAATATGAAGAAGTTGCTGCATTGCAAAGTAAAATTTTTATAGACAAATTTTCTTTCTTTTTTTTTTTTTTTTTTTTTTTTTTTTTTTTTTGGAGGGGGGGGGACTGCATCTTTTCAGAGAAGTAGAGCAAATGGGTTGAATACTTCATTATTCTTCCATCTAGTACCTAAGTCTGATAGTTTTCACAAATTATAGGGTTAGTAGAAAAATTAAATCAAGAATTTTGATGACATTCGAAGGAAAATGAATTAATTATTTTACTTTAGTTTCAAATTGGCATAAAGTGTTTAGTACTAGAAATATTTATCTTTTCTTCACTCATTTACATAAGTGGTAAAGTGTACTTTTAATAAATTTTCGGAAGACTTACTTTTCTTAGCGGATAAGTAGTGAGAAAATACGTTTTCTGTCAAAATCCCACTAATCGTTGCGTACACAGCATCATTGAACACGAGCACCTGGTCTCATTTTTTTCCTGTAGTTCAAAATGTTGTTCCTCGGAGATTCACCAGATGTATAGGGAATCTGTGATGGTTTGATTTCAACTGACGAGTCGCTCAGAAGTATGATAGCTCTCGAAATGCTTTACAGTAAACAATAAACAGAAACATAGCTGGTGATTCCTAATAAAATTCGGCCAAAAAGTTAAAAATGATAGCTGAGTTAAAAACATTGAGAAAACAAAGATTAGTTTTATTACTTAAATTAGTAACCAATTAAAACGGTTAATCAGTAACCAATTCAATTGTTTTATCTTCGGTATTCTTAAATGTAAAAGTGAATTTAATATTCGTTTTCTTTAACGCTGTTGTGAAAACTCCATTATTTATTTTATATTTTCATTATTTATTCTATCGTTTGCATTTCTAGACATAATTGTAAGTAGCTGAATTTTAAACAAAACGTTTTATCCTTTTATGTACTATTCCATTACATTAATTTTATCATACTTGTAAATAGCTTTATTTTGTAAATATTCATGAATCTTACACAAATTTTATTCTTCTTGTAAGCAAACGTTCATTTCAGCAGACGTCATGCATTTTGTGCTACTTTAATTCCATTTCAGCTTCAAAAATATGGTAGTTGAAAAGTAGTAAACAACGCAAATAAAAATGCCTTGCGGTCTGCCTTTAATTGATTTCTTTGCTTTTTTTACGATCATAGACATAGTGAATTAATCTCCCATTATTCCTCTTGCAAGACTGAATTGCTCTAACTTCACTTCCCGCATTTACCCTGCGGGACGGAATAGCGGGAACACAAAAGAAGAGGGATAAGAATTCCAAACTCATTTAGAATGTAAGATAGAATTCCAAAGTTTCAAAAGTAATATTCCATTTTCTTTTGTAAGTAGCGTGCAGTTAGAATTTAATTTATTCCCGCTTTGAAATTTAAAGGGAAGTACTGAAAAATCTCCATAATTGGACTGTGATTTAAAAAAAGCACAGATCCTAATCAATGCATTTCGTTAAAGTAGGCGCTCACTTACTTTCGATTTCATAACGAACTTGAAAAGGAATGTATTAATTTTCCTTTTTTCCCCCACTTATTTTGGGTTTCCTGTTTGTTTACTGCGGCAGAAATTTAAAAAGGTGATTTAAAAGAGACATTTTCAGCATTAAAATATTTAAGAAAGCATTTTTATTTATCAGTAACTGAATTTCATAGAAGTAGGACGTACTATAAGTGAAATGTCAATGATTCAGCGTAAAAGGCAATCCGTTGCAAAATTTCTTTGTAAATTCTTTGTAACAGAAGTGAATTGTAGGATAATTACAAGCATTCTTTCAGTATTTGGATTTAATGAAATAAACTAAACAGTTTCGAACTATGTTTTTAGTTTTTACTATAAAAGTAGCTACACGTTCTCAAGCGTCATTTCAATAACTTAAAGAATAAAATTTTTGCTTTCTGTATCACATATTTTTTGAGTAAAATGCTTTTGATAACGACCTAAATTACAAGCAATTGAATTTGATATTTGAAAGAAACGTGCAGTCAATCTAAAGCTGCAAATGTACTATTTTTCGAAATATATGATCTAATTATGGTACACTCGAAATTTTTATTTACATTTAGACAGTAATATAGAATATTCAACGCTTTCTAATTTCATAAATATTTTTTTGATATTCATCGCCAACAGTAACAAAACATTCTAGACATAAATGAATAAAAAGCTCATAAATTACAGACCAAATTAGTGGAGGAAATGGGATATACAGTAAATAAAAGAACATAGGATCTGTGTCTTTGAAAAGCATTTTAAAATTGCTACATATACTAAGAGATATAAGACACTTGGCCTAAATTATTTGACTGAATAATATCATTAGTCCTCCATCTTATATACTACTCAATATCGTAGGGGAAGTGAAGCCCATAGAGCCGAGTGCGTTTTCCATTTTAGACTGAAGGATGCCATTTCTTGCTAAGCTGGGTCCATTATTTTCCCTTCGCTGTTTCCATTAATTTCTTTAATGATTTCAATTCAGTCTTCCCGATTTAAAACTTTTTTTCAGTTTTCCGTGGCGCTAAAGATTAATCTTCTGTGTTGCTGTGTATATTTTGCCTTGCCTGACCTCTAAAAACTTAAAGCCACATTATTCACGGCTTTAAAGTAGTGTTTCCACCTTTCAACCTAACATGTTCTTGAAAAATGCATGTCATATTCTACTATTCCCTGTATTCATCTACCATCTGTTCCATCCTTTGGATTTCAAAATTATATTGTCAAATTAAGGATGCATGAATAGTGTTTATGACCTTATACATAATGATGAAAATGTTCTACTGACTAAACAAGGTCTAATTATTCTTTTCTTGTGACAAAGTAGATTTCTTCAGCCTTTGAGAGGCTTTCAATAAAATAAGCAATGACACACGTGTCCATAAATCTCTTGTAAAAGAACTAATATTTCAATAACTTCTTACTGGCGTCTCTATCGAGCGTAAAATCGTACTCAAATAAGCTAATGCAAGGCAGATTTAATGGCATCCTTTGAGGCTTCAATTAGTTCTTTACACTTGTCCATGCAAGAAATCTACGGTTTTGCTTCCATCAAACGATTTAAAGAGCTTTTAATCTCAGGAAATCCTTTAACAACTATTTGATTATAAGTATGTAGAACCGAGGAAACTTTTTAACTTATTAACATTTTAAGGGCTACAGTAGTCAGAACAGCCTTGATTTCTCAGTTCTCTAACTTTCTCAGTATTTTGCTGATATTTTCCACAGGTTCCCTAAAAGGCAGTTTGATCATGTAAGGTACTTGAGGTACACAAGGCAGACTTTACATGACATTTCTCTCAAAACTATCTCCATCAGGCGTTCAATTGTAGCTGGAGTACTCTACAATTCCACCGATGTTATTTTAAACTCAAAGTATACCTGTATAAAATGCAGTCTTCTTATGATGTTTAGATTCTATTTGCAGTTGCCAATAACCGCTCTTCAGATGCAAATTGTGAGTGCTATGCTTAAGTTGTCATTGAATCTGAGCAAAGACTAACAGTCTGTCTTTGTAATGCCATTAAAATTGCAGTCGACACAAAGTAACGCGGAGCCATAACTCTTGCCAGTTAACAGGATGGGTAACGTTCAAACTGAAAAGAAGTTTAAGACATCAATCTCTTTCATTTCCTTTAAAAGCTTTTCCATTTATTCTCATATTTGGTGAAAGATTAGGTTAAGTTATCCGAATAAGGCAAATTACACGAGGGTTAAGTGCCTAAGGGATACCTTCGCGGAGGGCTTTCTAAGAAACACCGGATCACATTTACGTTATACATGAGACCCAGCCCGTTCGCCTGGGCTCGAAGACAGATCGAACTGCAAGCATTATTCAGCAGTCTTAATTCTTCGACCACTAGTGGGACGTCCGGAGAAAGGAAGACGCCGGAGATATTCTTTACTAAGTGAATGGCTTCTTGCATCGATCGAGTTGTAACATGGAGTTACATCAATGAACGCCCGCACTAGCATCATCTTATCTAGCATCGTTCTTTAGAGACAGGGTCAAGCTTGCCACCCCCACCCTTGAGTGAAGAAGAGTTTTCGTTGGACCTGTTTTTGCCTCCTTGGTAACCGATAGAAGAAGGTCGCTGTAAAAAACGAGCTTACAAAAAACTCGGTGAAAGAAAATTCACCATTATGTTTTTTTATTCAACAGTGTTAGATTCTTCGAC